AGACTTTGAGTAACCTTAGTTTATTGACAGTTACTGTGTGGTATGTGGTTGGAGTTCTTGTAATCGCAGTCTTCACAGATATCGAAATTAATGAATCAAGGTTTGACTTCCGCTGTAATGTGAAATCAAACGACCAAGCTGACAAGGAATTCATCCGTGGATGGTGTTTCGATGAGTACAGCGAGAAATACAATAAATTAATTTCTCCGTGTATGGCTTCGTCCTCGTTAACTTCATACTCATCGCAATCATTCCTGTTGTTTACTCACAGTGTGTCAAATCGACAGTAAATGGGCTCGAAACGCCCAAAGCAGATGTCGAACGGCGGGGTCTTCTACAAGACCCACAGCGAAATCAAAACGCGTTTTCCTCAGCTATTGTTGTCAACTTGCCGTTGGATTTGCGTTCGCGATCCTTTTCATCCTAATCCGAACTCAAGTTGTTCTCTCTGGTGCTTTCCCCTCGAACTTTCCTTGTACTCTTACGGAAGGAGGAACGAATTCCACAGCTTTATTATCATCAAACCTCACACAGACAAGAAATGATATTTACGACTGTCATAATGCACGAGCAATTAAGAAAACCTTCAGGACTCGCGCCGTATTAGTTGCTAATGGGTTTTTGGCCTTTCTCATGTTTGTTGAAATTGTCTAGATTTTTTTACGGACATGGAACGAGAAACACTTTATGCAAGACCGTCAATTTTATTCTGCTTATTTAAGTTCTAGCCGCCGATATGCACTTCGTGCGGTCTTGAAGAGCTTGAAGGACAATATCATCGCAGAAACGGATCAACCCGAGGATTTGAAAGAACTTAATCCACCTAACACGGGTGAAGGCCAAAGTCCCAGGAATCTAAGTATCGATCAAATTTTTGTAAATCTGCTAATATACGAAGGGCGAGAAAAATACGAGTTCCCTAAAGATAGAAGGGAACAACTCAAAGTATTCCCAATACCAAAGGAGGTTCAGTGGCCTGACCGTGAAGTATCCGCGGTGAGAAAATGGCATTGATGGTCAACACAAGAATATTCTTGTTGTTGGTCGTCCAGGCATTGTAAAACAGTGTTTTCCACTAAGCTGCTTCGAGCATCGGCGTTAAATGAGTTCAAGTACGTGAACTTTGGCGTAGCCTTCCTTCTAAAATTCAGGCACTACAAAGCGGTAACGAACCTTAATCTTCGCGAGCTATTGACTCTCTCAGGAACAGTACATAATTTGAATGATGACGTGTGGAACTACATTATCCCAAACCCATCCGAAGTTCTAAGGATTTTTGATGGAGTTAACGAATTTTTTGCGGGGTCTAAGATCGCCGAAGATGACGCAGGATACAGAGACAATGAGGAAGAGAACATGCCTCTCCGCTTTCTTTACCGCAAAATAGCGTCCGGTAAACTTCTCTACGGTGCAACAATTATAACGACGTCGCGACCAACTGCGGTGTCATGCGTTAAATGCCTGACTTTCGGTAGAACATTTGAAATTCTTGGCTTTACGTCAGACGAGGTTGATGACTATGTAGAGAAAGACTCCTTTTGTGAATTGTCAACTGACTGAGTTTTACCTTTGTGGTATCACTGACTTGATGTTACTTTCTTCAGCGCTCCGATGTGACGCACCTAAACCTGCCAACTGTAAACTTACTAATTCGTCTCCTGCTATCAATCGGAATTCTTCTAAGAATTGTTATGGAAAGCAACACTTGATTGGTGCACTGCAAGATATTAACTGCAAACTCGATGTATTGGAAATTGGTTCTTTTAAAATAGGAGATGAAGAAGCAGAATGGCTGAGTCATGCTCTTAAAAGTGCGCATTGTAAACTCACTAAGTTGAGCCTTCCAATGAACAATTTAGGTGACACTGGAGTACAACACTTGAGCAATGCACTACAAGATGTCAACTGTAAACACCTTGAGTTAAACCTCCGTTTTAATCGTGTAAGTAACAGAGGAGCAGCACACCTCAGAGATGCACTAAAACATGAAAACTGTAAACTCATTAAGTTGAACCTCCGACCTAATAACATTGATGACAAAAAAGTAGCACACCTGAGAGCTGCAATATCACGTGAAAACTGGAGATCCAGTAAGTTGGACCGCCGATACAATAACATTGATGACAATCAGATTTAAAACTAAAACCAAACGTGACTTGGTCGCCCGGGTTTTCCCGCGCCTCAGGCAGTTTTCTTGTTTTTCTTTTGAGTTCTGATTGGTTCTTTGTAATTCTTTCTATTGCTGTGATCGGCGAGTTTTTTGTGATTACTTCGGCTCTCTCTCCGTGGGACACTTAATAAAAATGCACCTTAGTAGTTCATCTAAACAAGTACGTATCGCAGTTACCTTTAATTCAAGTTATTCGAGTAAATAAAGACTTAAATGATAGTTGTTTGTTCTAAAACTTTGCTGACTTCGTGGATAAAATCTTACTGCATGTCTTTAAACTAAGAAAATGATCGAATCTTGTGCGATATGATTTAGAGATTCTTCTAGCATGCATTGTACTTTTTAAAATAAGTCCTTTTGGATTACATTAGACAGTTTTGTAATCAGATCATTCGAAATCATTTTCCATGGTAGCGCGTGTCAACAAGATAATGTGTAAAGTCAATGGTTTAATTTAAAAACCGCGACGTGGAAAACTACAGTTCTGACTGTATTACACTGCTCTTTTCCTTATTTGGTTAGAGGTTACAGTGTCTCACAAAAAAGAAAGAAGTAATAGGCAATTGTCTTTTCTTCGGCTCAAGAAATGAGACTGCTGGTCAGCGTACTTCATTCTTTGACCTTTGCCTTAAATAGGGAAAGTTTGGCTTCGTTTTAGATCGCTAAACAAGGACTTTAAATTTTCTGAAAAAGTCCACAAAGCGAGAGGTTTAACAGAACCTTTTGAGGAGAAATTCTTTGAAAATTTCCCGGCTGCCGTACCTGAGAGAGAAGCATAATTTTACATGCTGATTAGTACTTATTCGACTTATGTGTTGTTCTTTATTTTTTGTCCCTGCTTTTTCTTTTGCTTTTACTAATGAAAAAGTTATGGCGTCAAGGTGCATTTAAAACTTCTTTTCATTATAAGCATTAAGATTAATGATGACGATGACGATAATGATGATAACAATACTGAAGAAATAACAATGATAGTAATAATCAGGGGCGTAGCCAGGATTTTTCAAAGGGGGGATCACAGAGGCTACTCACCATTTACACCGCTGCTCTCCCGCGTGTATCAGCGGGCTCAGTCGTATCATCGCGGCATGAAGGCTCATATCAATGGCCTTTACGGCCAAGATATTGTCATGGCGTTTTCACCACCTGAATGTTGTTGGTTGTTTGCTCTAAAGAAGACCGACCAAGGGGGGTTCACGGGCACCCCAGGACCTCCCCCCTGGCTACGCCCTTGGTAATAATGGCAATAGTGATGATAATCAGTGCGAGTTTGAGTTAAAGTTGAATTAGATAAAAAGGAAATTATAGAAAATGAGGAAAAAAAACTTAAAATCTGTCTTCTTTGATGCAGTAAGCCTATGTTGTCAATATTACAATGCACTTAAAGATGTAAATTGTAAACTCACTGAGTTGAGCTTTGGTCAGATAACGACACGATGATAGGAGACAAAGAGGTAGAACACCTGAGCTGTGCTCTTCAAGATGTCAATTGTAAACTAGCTGTGTTGGACCTTCAAGGTGGACTTCAATTGCGGGCCAAGGCAGGAGTCCACCTAAGTAACGCACTTAAACATGCCAATTGTAAACTTACCAAGTTTTCTTTTGCAGGTAACTCTATGGGCCATGATGGAGTGGCACACCTGAGCTTTGCACTTCAAGATGCTAACTGTAAACTCACTGCGATGAACCTTGCTTATAATGATTTAGGAGACATGGGAACACAACGGCTGAGCGATGTTCTTACAAATGAGATGAACATCGAGAGTAATGAAATTGGTGACAGTGGAGCAGGACACCTGAGCGAGGCACTTAAACATACAAATTATAAACTGATTAAGTTGAACCTCGCATGCAATCACATCGGTGGCAGCGGAGTAGCACACCTAGGAGATGTTCTTCAACGTGGAAATTGTAAACTCACGAAAGTGAATTTCCAAGGTAATTACAATGTTAGTCACTGGGGAAGAAAACGCCTGTTCGAAGCATGTAAAGAACGTAATGATTTGCACCTTTAGAAAGCGATAACAATTTTGGACACAATGCAGCAGAACATTGAACTGATTCACTCTAAGATAAAAATTGAAAACTCGCTAAGTTAATCTTCATCACCTGGATCTGACCGGAAAGATACATAAGTAATAGAGCAGCACTACACCAAGGCCAAGCAACAAAATATGTTTGTTGCAAATTGCCCAAGTTAAATCTGGCGGTGTGACGACGATAGTATTGTAGACTAAGTCATGATGGCCCAAAATGATGTTTTCATGATTTTTAGTAGTCTGAACTAGTGGATCCATCGCTTCATGCATTGAAGGGCAAGTAAAACCACCAGGTACGCTGGCTATGAATAAGCAGTTGCAACGTGTATTACAGGGTTACTCAGTTCGGTTTTGCTTTACATCGCGGTGTGATTGGTCAAGTGTTGCTTTTTTCTCCTTTGAGTTCTCATTGGATAATTTCATTTCCCCTGATTGGCTGTTGCAATAACTTTGGTTTTGCTTCCACGACACTCAATCGAGATGTGCAGAAGTAGTTCCCCTTAACAAAGGTGTACTTTTTCTTACTTTTGATTCAAGTTTTCACAGAAACAAGAACTAAAGATTCTTGAAATGTCGAAAAGTTGTTTTTTTAAAAAACTTGGCTGACTTTGAAGGTAACATTTTATAAAATACCATGATTGAACCTCGCGCGCTTCTTATATTTCATTTTCTTTCAGAGCCACTCTATAAATCCAAAGAATCAAATTCGAAATTCACAATATCTCGAGCTGCCTTTTTTTTCCATCACAATTCGAGTCAACAATGCTCAGTGTAGTACAATGTTAAAAAAAATTATTTGAACCGCGCGGCAGAGAAAAATAAAGGTCTGATTGTTTTAAACTTCTTTACTTTCTTAACTAATTTTTATATTTTGGGGTCAGCAATAGTTTCAGCCTCTTATCCATGCTCTTTTAAAATTAACAAAAAAAAAAATTGGAATTTTGCAATGTCGTGACTTCCATAGGGAGGCTCTTCTTCCACTGTATGCAGTAATTTGTCAACATTGTGAGTTAAAGGTAATCAAATTCCACCATCCCGAAGATCCTTTAGGCAACCGCTCGTTCTCCAAAGAATCAGTGTGCAGGCTACAGTTGGCTTCCTTTCAATTTCTTGGCAGCCCTCTGTAAAATAATAATCAACTGGTATACGTCCCATCAGTTGCAATGTTAAAAAAATTCTTATCTATTTGGAATGTCTGTTTTATGCTTTGTCTGAACACGTACTGGAGAGCCCCACTGGAAAGTGGATATTAAAGTACTGTTTTTATCACTAATGATATCAGTATTATCAATGGAGAGATTTAGCACCGCGTTTACAAAACGGAAAACGTCAGCTTTCCCTTTCACGTAAAATAGCGTGAACCTCGCTGCTTTAACTTGCATGAGCTCACGTCATGGTGGATTTGAAGGCGCCCTTTATGACGTCATGGTGGATTTGAAGGCGCCCTTTATGACGTTCAAGGAATAGTAAATAGTGATCTTTTTCTGGAAATTAACTTCTACTCTATGAGAGAAAAGGTGAAGAAAATCCTATGTACACGGCAAACGCGAAACAGGTTACTTTCACGTAGAAACGGCAAAGCGCAACCGGCAAACGTAAAAAAAAACTGGCGGGAAAAACAAGGTCATGTGGTCACTCTGGCCGTTTATGCATATGTTTCACTTAAACGCGGTGCTAAATCTCTTTATTATCTTAGATTAAAACGGACAGCTAACGGGCTCTTGGAACGAGGTTATAAACGAGCAAGGGACTCGGAAGGAGATGATGTGATCGAAGAGAAAGGGGCCCTCCCCTGCAAATCAAACTGTAAGATTTTATTACTTCTCAAAGGTTTACCATAATTTGCTTTGCTGATCTCCTATCATTTTCACATTCAACAATAAGAACAAGACCTGGATTCTCTTTAATGTGGTGCGGTTTCACTTGTCAACTTCATCGTGCTCGATCGGTCTTTGACATTCCTACCCGGTCCTCGACTAGTTTACAATAGGCGGAATACGTTCATCTTTTCCCCTTCCTTTACACGATGTTTCGATTTTCACAAGTTAATCTTCTAAAGATTAAACAGTGATTTAGCCTGCAGTTGACAATGATATCCTGGCGGCAGTCCTGACGAGATACCCTTATATTTCCCATCAACGGGTTAACACTGATTACGTAAGAAACGCGAGAAGTACTCCGTATCAACGATGCGTTTTAAACACTAAGGGATGAATTGAAATAGCCCCCTGAACAATAATTTAATAGACTACAGCGCTGTAACATTTTTTATAGACAAGTGTAAGCATTTGTCTTTGCCATCTCCTCAGGAAAATAGAACGCCGGACGGCGCACTTCAGACTTTGATCTTTGCTTTTTAGGGGTCGATTTAACCTCATCTGGTACGACCAAGGAATTAACTGGCTTTGTCTGAAAAGAAAAGAAGGTCAGCGGTCATTACATCTGTACATCTGTATTTATTTGAAATCAGAATACGTCGCCTGCAAAGAACCTGTAAAAAGTTGTGTACTATGTACACCATTGGAAATAAAGGACCTCGCCTAGAGAAGAACTTGGGAGCAATTCGTTTTTCAATTTCTTCCCGGATTTGTAACTCGAAAGTGCTAAACGCATCATCTTCCTCTACTTAAAAGAGATGACCAGGTATGATCATCTCCTCTCAAGATTGTTCTTCAGAAATTCAAATGAATAAAGGGGGTCAGTTTCTAAAGAAACTGTAGTGCTGCATCGGTGGGGCGGGGAGGGGGTATAGCAAGGAACTTGATTTATCAACTGAGTTTATGATTTAAACTGGCCACAGTAAAGAGTTCCTAAAGCTGACGTTCGAGCGTTAGCCCTTTGTCAGAGTGAATGACGAAGGGCTAGCGCTCAAAACGCCAACTTGAGCAACTCATTTCGGTAGCCATTTCACGTTATCAACTCAGTTGACAAAACCAGATTATCTTATAGTACCCTCCAATGACGTAGCGCAACAGTTTCTTTGGAACGTACCTCCTCTCAGAAATGCATGTGATTTTGTTTGGCAAACACAGTCTGAAAAACCTGCCAACATTTTTTTGTTCCTAGTCCTTTTATGCGGACAGGACACAAAACTATGCCCTATAATAGGGCCAATTTGTTAAGTCTTTCTGCGACATTCACAAGGAGAATTGAGCTCAAAATTGAGAGCTTTTAATGTTGATGATCATCTTCTTAATTCTGATGAACCTCATGTTTGATTTGGCAGTAATACCATACAGAGGCATTAGATGCTAATCGCCCTTAGAGTTTTTAGGGTTAAGGACGTGCAGCTACATACATACATCTTATTAGACGTTTTGTTGTGTAGTATCGCTGAGTATTTTTACGAGTTGTGCCGTATTTTGACGAGCCCTTAGGGCGAGTCAAAATACAAATAACGAGTAAAAATACTCAGCGATACTACACAACAAAACGTCTAATAAGTTATTTATTATCCAACACGCCAAACTGTTATTTCAGTGCGGGCGAATTTCGCGGATATTTATTTACGGGGACTGCGTGACAGAAGTTTGCGAAGCGGAACGGAATTGGCGCGTTGTTATGTTGCTGTTTCTATTATCTTCATTAAATAAAGAGATTTTCTGGTCGTCAAGCTGTTTTTCTTCGTTCGATTCATCTAATGAACTTGGATCTATATTTGCCAGCCATTCTGACTCTTCGTCGTCGGAAATATGATTAAAATGGTCCGCCATTTGTTTGTTTTTTTTTTCGTACCTACAATCCAATTCTTTGCTTGCGCGATGCGAGAAAACCTGTTTAACCGGTACTCTACAATAGACGAGTACAAATACCGCGTGATATTTGTACTCGTCTAGGTGTAGTTGGATAATAGTAAGAGATATACTGATCCACCCTCTTAGGACTGAGAAAATACTGTAAAAATTCATTAGCCAAGGTCTTGGTTAAGGAATGAAAGTTTTATGAATAAGGATTCATGAACATAGAAATTTGTCTAATTACCCAATCAGGAAGCAGAGTTATTAAAAGCTTCCTGATTCGGTGTGACATTATCGTGAATGTTACCTTAGCTACAGCACCATGCTTGAGTTATGATTTATACCTTCAGCTTACTTACCACGTGATCCTGAAGATGCTGTATGATGTCATTCCTGTTATTCAGCTCAACTTGTAAATTGCTCTTTTCACACAACAGTGTGTCACGTTCCAACTGCACTGCGTCACGCTCACATCGCAAGCGGTCACATTCGCGCCTCAAACAGTCACGCTCCTGTCGCAAACTCTCCATTTCCTGAGATTGTAGGAGAATGTTGAGAGGAGTTAGCAAACTGGAAGGCAGTCACTAAGCATATGATCTTCTTATTCAAATCTCATCAAAGTGGCCGCTTTTAGAAGTAACTGGGACGAAATTTTTAGTGAGCACGCACAACTCGAGTGTTGCCGCGAACTGTAGCAAACCACGCAAAATCAAAACTTTTAATCCAAACTTCTTCACTAATGCTTCGAGAAAACTCGCATTAAACTTTAAAATGCTTAATGCAACATTAAGACCAAAAATTAAGAAAAAACTCAACGATGTACAGACAGGTTTTAACTCGGTGGCCTCGTAGCACCGTTTGAAGATGCCGCCATTGCGCATGCACGAAAACTTAGATGTCCCTCATGGGAACCCAGGAGACGGCCGCGCGTCGACCAGCCGCAACATCAAGAGTGTGTTCAATTTTGAGGATTTTCGGTCTGAGTAAGTGCTCTTAATCCAAACCCTACTTTGCTTTATTTTCCAGACAGTTTATTTCAGACTACCTTCTGTACTTTACGGCACAACACACTGCAAAGATATTTTTTATCAGCCATGCTTTAGAAAGGAACTTGAAGGGTTTGTTATGAAAAAGAAGCAGTTTTTACTTGGCGTTTTCTGCAAAAGTATTCTGCAGACATTCATCTCGCCAGAGCTTGTATCTGGATACTCGAACACGGAGTCGCCTGTTAAAAACCAATGCAAAAATGTGTACTCATATAGCATATTTCAAACATTCCTACCTTCTTTAAAGTCTGGTAATCCTCTTCTGAAACTGTAACTTTCTCTGCATTCTAACCCCGAAGAAAAAGGCATCTATCAGCCATTACATAAAATAAAAATTGTAAGAAAAATCTAAGAATCAGAATTCTAGGGCCCAATGTCGGCTTCTAGGGTCCCCCTCACCGAAAGATAAAGTTTGCGGAAATACAATAGTCCTAGACGTACCAACGAAATCAATACAACAATTTAAAATTGAAGGTCGACATTGGTCCTAAATAGGCCACTCTGTAGCTGTGTACTTTGTTGCCAAGCCTTTGATTTGGAGTGAGGCTGCAGGTGACCTTGTTGTGATAGAGACCTGTATCTAGTTAGCATGACAACAAAGTAATTTACATTTGAAAAGTACCAACGTTTGTACAATAACAAGGTCATCCATAACTTTACTCCTGCTCAAAGTAAAGGCTTGGCAAAAAAGAACGCAACTGGAAAATGGACTATTGCTTGTTACTACGTTACAATGCTCTGTGATTGGTTTGGAAAACTCGCGGCAGCCTCATTTCCAGAACTAAAACCGATGACCGTTTGTTATCATGTGCGTTGTATAGGGTTACTTTAAGTTCTCGTTAGTTCTTTGTGATGGCAAGCTTTGCCATGGTTTTGGTTTGACGACACGCAATCTGAAAGTACTCTACTGCAATGGCAAACAGCTCTCTATAGGTGAGGTAACCAAGGGGCGCTGCTGCAGAACTTAGCTTTACAGTTGTGCTTAAAGGATGCTTTAGAATTATTTTCATACTTTTAAAGCGAAGTCACCGATCATTGTCAATGATATATCATTTTAGCATTTTAAATCTTAATACAGAAGACGGTAACAAATTTTGTTAGCTCATTGGACTCTCAAAAGAGATGGTTTCCAATACGGCCATAGCTTATAGGAATTACTGTTTACGTGGAATTTCTTTGGTATCTGTTAATTCCTCTGAGAGAGAGACTGTCACGAAGACAGATCTTCCAAAATAATCAGCCAAAAACTCCACTGTCGGGGCTGGGACTCACATTACCCAATCGTGTAATCTTAGCTTTCACCACAGAAGTATGTAAATGTGTCCAGAAATACACTCCCTATATTATCGTCAAACCGAAGCATTGTTAGTTGAGTTAACCTTCACTCGCGAACCTGTGAAGACCTTGTAATCCCAGTTGTGTTTATTAAAGCGCGTAAAATCCATCTCAAGACTTCTCTTGGATACTTTCTCCTGCGGCCAGAGAATTCCAGGAAACAAACAGTCGTTAGCGCGATAGATAACTTGCCCAAATAATATCCTCAAAATGAGACTCTAACTAAAAAACACTGCCAATCGCAAACGTTAGAGTCTTCTACGTTATTCATTGCAGACTTAGGGATTAGCGCGCGTCGAGCTAGTTCGTCACACGTCACACCACGGTTCGATCTTCTCCTTGCTCAACAGAGGCTCTTTTAGACACTGTTAAAGAAAAGCATCTCGCCTATTGGCTCGGAAAGATTTCCAATCTGGATATATTTATTTTTAGGGTGCATATGATAATACTCACATTTCATGTTTAAAAATCCGGCATCACGAAGAAAACAAAACCAACGCCATAAAGTACTCCAACGTTATCAACTGGCCTAAAGCCAGTTAGTTTTGGCGAAACGTACGGTTAGTACCGAAGGAGGGAAGAAGTTACTCACCATGGTGACTAAGCACGTTTCTACGTGAGGAAGTAAATTTTCTGTAGCTCATCAGGCAAAGTGTGTAAATAAATTGATTAGCATAACAATGTGCGCGGGCTTAAAAGTGACCTAGACAAAAACAAAGTAAACTTGATTGCTTACCAAAAGATGTAACGTGCTTGAACAAGAAAACTTCCTGTTCAGGCCATAAAAGTTCTCGAGACTTAGGTAAAGTTTAAGGAAAATTTTGAGATATTTCATTCCTATGTTGACAAGTCTTAAAATGCTTACACTCTTTTCTTCAATAGAGTCAAATCGTACGAAGCCTTGAATCCTATTACCGAAAATTCTTAATCTCATTCTTTTCTGTTAGTTGGAATTATATTCCATTGGCTCAGCAGAAGAACAAATGAATGAAAAATGATTAAATAAACACCAGGCCCCAGTTGTTCAGAGGGCGGATAACGGTATCCAACGGATAAATCGCTATCCAGCGGATAAGTGTTACCAAAACGTACTGTGCTATCCACTGAATACAGATTTATCCAGTGCATAGCGTTATCTATCCTTTGAACAACCGGGGCCAGAACTTAAACTGATCCATGACTTTTAAGTTTCATTCAGTGTTACCTTGGAAACAGTTTAAGTAAAATTACTTGGTGCGTGGAATGAATCAGCGAAACGTAACATGGTTTGCTGTGTTGAGGCTAGAAGTAAAAAATCAACTTGTTTTATTGAATAGGGTCACTCCTTAATGACGGTTGAACACTCTCCGGCACTGACTTAAAGAAGATTCTGAGTACAAATTCCGTAAGAAAGAAAGTTAAAATGGCAAATTCAATCAAATCGTACTACTTATCGCCTTAAAACCAACAGCCTAAAGTACAATACTGCCTTTTAAAGGTTTATTTACCTGGTCTTGATTCTCCCCACAACTTTTTCTTCCAGATCGCCTCATGCAATCATTTCTACTGTCTGGAACTTGAAGGTGTGAGTGAGAGAAACTTGCTTGAAGATTTTTCATTTCCCCTCTTTCTTCCTCGCTGTGTTCTGACCCAGTGAAAGATCGAGATCGTAAGCGGTATTCGATGAAACTTTTCACTGGCGGCGTTGAGATTACCAAGCCGTCGGGACTGGCAGAAAGCTTTGATTGACTTGAGATCGGAGACAGCACCAAAATATGCGGCTCAGATGCACTTCGTCCATGGACTTCGGGTCTTTTAAGGTTCGTCATCGATCGGGTGTTTTCAGGTGGAGCATGACTCTCTTCCGTAACAGAAGAGTCATTTGAAGTTGGTTCTCTCGCTTTGCGAAATCTTTCCCTTGCATTATGCAATCTTTGATACTGTTGATCTGTTACGCTAGAAATCCGTTGTCGGCTTTCGCTGGAATCCTCGCTCGATCGCCAGGAATTAGATCTAGAAGAGGACCGAGAAGAATCTACTTCGAAAAACCCACCACTGCCATTGCTACTCGCCACGCTGGAGAAACTGCTCTCACGACTAACAGAATTCGACGCGCCTAACTCGACACTGCTGAAACTGCTCTCCCTACTCACTGACGTTCCATAACTCGATTCTCTCGTTGATTTGTCAATCT